CTACAGGACGGTTCAGTTGGCTTTGTCTGTTATAAGCAAAACATCCATTAGTAGCACAGCCAGATTACACTGTGTGAATATGTAGGGCTTTGGGGAAAGAAATTTAAAAAAAAACCAAACAGCCATGCACAAATAAAAATATGCATAAACACACACCAAAAAAAAACCAACCACAAAAAAAAGATTCATGGGTAGCTTCACATTAACTCTTTTGCACACTTCAGTAGGGCTTTGGAACATGTCCTCAGGGTACTTGATCCGGTTCATACATTTGTAATGGGTGATAGGCCATTGGCTACCAAAGGACTTTGATAGCAACGGCATCAAAAAGACAATTCTGCTTGTCCAAATGAGGGACCTATACCAGCTGAAAGAGCTAGACTGAAGTGACTAGATGGGAACCTTCAGCATGAGTATGCTTAATCTACCTCAAATTTGCACACTGTCATCAACATGAAGAACAGGATCTAATCCAGCTCATCATTCCAGAAGCAAATACCAACAGGATATTGCAAGTGTTTCTCCTTGTACCAAAGGGAATTTAACTAAAGCAGATCATGAACTTCATTTACCTAACTTGCACTACCATGGAGTAGTAACAAGCAAGATCACTTTATGCAGCATTTCTCCAGCTTAAACACTAGCAAGTAAAGGGAGCACAGATGCAGCCTTCACATCTTTCCTTCCTTCTCTTCAGAACAGCAGATCCAAAAAGAGATCTAAGGGCTGCAGTTAAAGGTATAAAACCCATAGGGCATCCTGACTTGTTTCAGCTACAGAAAGATCATGATGAGAACATGGAGGAGAAAAGAAAGGTGTTCTGTTGACTGAATAGCTGAACTTTCATAGAATCATAGAATAGTTTAGGTTGGAAAATACCTTTAAGATCATCAAGTCCAGCCATTAAGTTCTGTTGAGTACATGTGGTAAATTGTCACAATATAATTAATTGTGCTTTTCAGACAACCAGACTTACAGTATGTGATGAGGGACAGAGCAATTTGGTGACTACTATAGAAAACCTGTTAAGAACAAGACAATACAATAGCCGCATAATTGCAACAAAAGTATGGACAACTTTGTGTAGATCATGATAGTTGCACAATATATACACAATATATTTCTAGCAAAGAAAATGGAAATATGGTTGCAGGAAATTTTGTTGGGGAGTTGCACACTGTCAGCACAGGGTTAAAAGTATAGAAAAGCACGGCTTCCCCTGGTTAGGAATGTCATGTGGGATTAGTAACTGGAACCCTAACTAAATCACCTAGAACATGCCAGAGAGGCTATTAGGCTACCTGTTAATGATCCCATCTTTTCTATTAGGGTCTAATAGCTAGAAAGCTAGACCAGGAAGGAGGAAATCCCAACTTCATCCTCATTCAGAATAAAACACACAGTTTTACCACAGGGTGTAACACCTACCAACAATGAAGGCAGTTTTGGAGTAGGAGAGAAAAACATCTTCCATATCTCCTTTCAAAGCTTTACTCATGGATAGTAAGTGATTTAAGATTCCTTGGGACAAGAAGGTATGACATTGTATAGTTTGATGATTAAGATACTTACCTGAGGGAGTCTTGGGCTGTCTTTGTATTTTATTGCCCAGCTGTAATGCTACCATCTCTCAAAAGAAAGTCGTAACTAACATCTCTGCAGAGCTTGGTCTTGTATGAACAAGTATGGTAGATGCCACAAGAATGCACTTACGAGACGAAGCTGAAGTGGAAGGATTAGTATATGTATATGATTAGGCACCAGCATCAGAGTGGCAGGAACTGCAGCCACTTTGGAACATGCAGGGAACTGCAGCTATTAAAACATCTTTTAAAAAACAAATATGGAGAAAAAAAAATTTAATTAAGCGACTCCAATGAGATGAAACCTATTAAGTTTGTTAGATGGGTCTAAAATTTGTTGACAAGATGTAAGCATAGAAAATATAGGTACACAAACACATTTCAAACAAAGTTGCAAAGAATAAAACTGTCTGAGGTTTATCCAAAACTACTCAGGCAGTGTCACAGCTAGGGAAGAGTAGGAAGCCCCTTCTAGTTATCAGTCACACCGAAACTAGGGTCAGAGTGAAGAGGTCTTGAATGCCCAACAAAGCAATGGATTAGAAGCAGCTATTTATGTCTTTATAATAGCCTGAGATAAAAACTACTATTTATGTGTTGGTAGAGCTAAAACATAAATCTTTTGAAATAAACTCTCTTCCCCCCCCCCAAAAGATGACAGCAGAAAAATAATCTATGCATGTGAAAAAGGCAGTGTATGTTTATTTAAAATAAGTACTCATACAGAAGGGCATCAATATACATGGAGAATTCAGTCAGACTCTTGCTCCAGGTTATCTTTCCCCTCAAAAAAGTATTACAAGCTGAATATTAGACTTGCTATTTGGCAATGTCAACGTTGCAAAAGAAGTATGTATTTCCATTAGGAGGGACTTGTTACATCTCAATTCTTGGCTCACCTCATTTTACATGACACCCATAGTTAGAATACAACTATGAAGTTGGAAACTGCAATATTCACAGATGTTGGTTCATGCTCAAATATAATATTTTTGTAATAAACCCAAACCTACCCACATGCAACAAGAGAGCCATCTTTAAATTGGCTGATTAAGGTTTCAACTGTAAAAGCTTACTCTATTTAATTTTGAACCAGACCCTTCACTGTATTACCCAAAATAATGGAGCACAAAGATGAAGCCATCCGCTTCATTTTCTCTTTAATTTATAGTTCAAAAAGAGATGCTGAGATAGCTTTAACACTCAGATCCAAGAGTCTCAGTGCTTAAATCACTACTAAAGCCCTCGTCAACGGTTCAAAAGGTGTTGTGCGTTTGACCCTAGCCAGCAGCCAAGCTCCTCTCCTCTCCATCACCAGGAAGATGAAGAAGAGCAGCAGCAAATGCAAGAAAACTCACCAGCTGGGACAAAGACAGCTTAATAAACGAAGGAAAGAGGGGAAAAAGCCCACCAAGTGATGTTAAAGCAATCACTCACTACCTTCCACAGGCAAACCAATGCCCAGCCAAATCTGCAAACAATAGCCACCTTGGAAGGCAGCCCCCCTACAAAATCCTCCTTCCCCTACTCTGTTCTTATTGCTGAGGATGACGATATGCAATATAGAATAGCCCTTTGTCCAGTCAGGGTTGGCTGTCCCAGACATGTCTCTCCAGGTCTCTTGCCCACCATCAGCCTAATTGCTGTGGGGGCAGAACAGGAAAAAGAGAAAGCCTTAACCCTGTACAAGGACTGTTCAGCAACAGCCAAAACATTGGTGTGATATCAACACTGGTTTTTAGTTACAAATCTGAAACACAGCACCATATGGGATACTATCAAGAAAGTTAACTCCATCTCAGCCAGACCCAGTGCACAAATAAATCCCAAGAGTTCAGCTATTAATCTGCATGAGATATAGCACACCATAGCTTGCTATTTGGAAGCCCAAAATAAAAATCAGCTTAACTACTGTAAAATGCTTTCAGCATATAAAACTGTGTGCCAAATTTATCAAACCTGAAAGCAGTCCACTACAGTCAATACTGTTCTCAACATTTGCAGTAGTGGCTTTGACCGGTTTATTTATAAAACTAGTAAGCCTAAGGCCTTCCCCAAACATACAACTTTGCTTGTGGGACTTACGTTCATGTTATTAAAACTGATCTGTTTTCCTCTTGCAGTTTTGATATTAGTATTTACTGTTTACTCCCAGCAGGCTGTAGACAGTATTGTACAGTAGGTATGCATAAATAGAATCATAAATAAAAAAGCTAACAAGGTGCTCAGAAAGACAGCTCAGTCACTTTGCCACTGCACATAAGAACTCAGTTTATGATGCTTGCTTATGCTAGTTCCAAGGGGGGAAAAGTATAATTAAATACATAACATCATAAACTACAGTATCCATGCATGTCTTCTCTTGCCCGTAAGTAAATATCCTGGGAAGAGAGAGCAGAAGTGATGATCTGTAGAAGTCAGCAGTGTCTCTTCACAGACCTTGAGAGCTCCTCAGTGTCTGCAGGAACAACTGCTCATTAAAGCCAAAATATCCCAAACAATGCTACTCCCAAAGACAGTAATTTTTATTAATCTACCATTAAACTTACTTCTGTTAAGGGTAAAGGTGTTGATCACCACAGATATTTAAACCTGAACATGTTCAGGAGTTGAAAGTCTAAACAGTGCACAGATTTCTGGCACTTTGTATGTTTAAAAGCAAATGCAGTTCCTTGGTGCTTTTTTGGGAAGCTACTCCTTACCTTCAGAAAGTAATACAGGAGAGCCAGTAAAAAGGTCTCCATAAATAAAACAAAAAAAGCCACTGTAGACTGAGACTACCCATAAAAATTAACCTGTAACACTGATAAAACCAAATCTAGAATCACTAAATACTTTTACATGTAAAGGCTACTCCTGCAGAGCAGTAAGGCTCTGCCAGTACAGGTTAGTACTGGCAACTCTGAGTTTCTGGAGCAGAAGTTGATTTGGGGCTCTATCCCAGGGGAAAGCATTCTCCCAGCAAAACTCGGGAGCTTCTCTTCATGTAGCAACAGCTTTCTAGGAAAGACTGGGCTCTAAGCAAGGTTGTCTGCCCAGGATTTTAAAAGTAGCATTGCTCACTGAAGAAATCCGTCTTGAATTTGAAAGGCTAAGGCACAATGAGAGCAAGGAATCAAGGCCATGATTTTCCACATCCAACTTAAACTAAGAAGGCTCCACTTCCAAGTGAGCAGAAGCCACTTTAAGGCGTATGGGGGGCACAGTGAACACTGATAATGGCAGTTGTCAAAGCTAAACATGATTAGAAATTTCTTTCTCTTTCTAATACATGCAGATGACTCAAATCTGGGTTCCAGGACAATGGTGAACTAAAACCCACTTTTGTTTGAGGTATTATAAATTTTACAGCTTGTGCACAGCTCTATTGCTTGCCAAGGGCCTCAATGCAGATGTGCCAGAACCACAGACAGATGTTTCTTGGGCAGGCTTTGCTCCCTTGAAAATGGGTGGCAGCAAAAGCAGCAGCCCTAGCTCCCCTTTCCTCTCTCCCAACTTCCCTGCAGCAGGTCAGCCTAGTAGCAAGCAGGGATGTTACTCTCTATTCTGGCAATGCTACACAGCAAGCAAGCTCACTTCTAAATATATCCAAATATCAAAATCACAAAATACAGTTCTTACTCTAAGTTATGCAACAAAATGTAGGTTATACCTAATATTTCATGGTAAATGTAGTGTTATTAAACTTTTTTCCTTGTCTTCAGTGTAGCAGTTACAAGAGGCCCACAGGAACAAAATTCAGACTTCCACAGAAAGTAAGAATTATGTTTACTTTCTGGGTTTTTTACTCCCTGTCATAACAAAATAGTGATCATCTTGCCTGCTCCTCATAAGAGGACTTTTTGATACACCAGGCATTCCTTTGTTAGACGTCATTGCTAATTTTCCCTTAGGGAGAGGCTTCTTGGCTGCTGGGGCCAAGACTTCATTTACTTGCAAGTTTTCTGTTGAAGGCTGTGCTGGCTTTTTGGTCACTGCCTCTTTGGCTGAAGTTTGAGGAAGCCGTACAACAGATAAAGGAGTGCGTTCAGGAGGCTTGGATGAAGCGGGTCCAACCTGAGGGGGTTTACTGGCATTAGGCTGCTTATTGACAGCAGATGATACATTTTTGCTTGCAGATACCAGCGCAGGTGGTGACTTTAATGCTTTGTTAACTTCAAGGGAAGGTGCAGAAGCTGAGTGTTTTAGGACTGAAGGACTTTTCAGGTTCCTTGCCCGATCAGTAGCTGTTTGTGGAGCTTTCCGAGGATGCCGACACCTAGTTCCTGAGGTCTGAACAACATTTTCAGAATGAGGTTTTGCAAGGAGCTGCTGAGATTGTGCAAACTTGGCAACAGCACTCAGGTTTGTCACAGGTGGCTGGGCAGCCTTTGGACCAACTGAATTCACTTTGGGTTTCGTGTCAGATACAGGTTTGCATTTAGCAGGGACACGCTTCTGTATTGAAGTGATTGTTTCAGCTGTCCCAGGCAAGGGAGATGGCTGTTTTCTAGGGGATGAGGATGCAGGATGTAGCGTTGGTGCTGGGGAGCCCTGAGGCAGGGTAAATTTCATCTTGGGAGCATCAGGGGACCAAATACGTTTGCGCAATGTTTCAGAGTGAACAAGAGCTGTTCTTGCTCCTGCAGCTGAAGAGCTTTTGCTTAGAGGCTGCGAAGGAGCAGAAGCTGGTGAACTGTGTGCAGAAGACTCCAGTTTCTTTGAGGTGCCAGGTAATGGTTTCAGAGGAGACCCTTGTAATTTGGACATGACTCTCAATGACTTGGCTGTAGAGGATGGAAGCACTGGCACTTTTGATGATGCCAGGACGGGGGACTGAGGACGTTTAGGTAAAGCCTTCTTGGCACTGGCCCCAGGAGTTGAAAGAGGAGTCAGTGGTGGTTTTGATGGCTGCTTTTGAAACATACTGACAGCTGACATTGGATTCATAACAGGAGGCTCCTGAAGTCTAGCTGATGAGCTGGGGACACTGTCGCTGGTGACTCCTTTCTGAAACGCCAGGATTTTTTGTTCCAGAGTTGCAAACTGAAGCACTCGGCATGGATCATATTTAAGTAGAAAACCTTGAAGAGTGTCCCAGCCTCCGCCAACACGGACCATCACATGCTTGCCATGTAGCATCTGAGAATGGAGGAAGAGGGGGAGGAGGGGAAAAGAGAGCAGGAGAAGAACAAGAGAGGATTCTATCTTGTTTTATGCAGCATTATGTCTTCATGTTACATTAACATTTATTTAAATTGCCCAGAAAAAGGACCTCCTTTCTTACAGAGAAACATTTTTTTTTAAATAGAAATTATGTGATAAATAAGGCTTATGCTTCCTAATTCTTTTATTAAACAGTTTCTCCTGCAGAGGCAGTTGTTATGTGCCAGGAAATAATGAAACCATATATTTAGAAGACACTTCAACCCTTCTGTCAGCATCTTTATTTAGTATATAGAGCTTTGGATACAGGTTTTGTCCAAATTGTGGATGTGTTTGTAACACGAACTCTTATGCCTGCTGAAAAGAGTGATCAAGCATCCTACAAATTATAAACCCCCAAGTGTCCAGATTTTGAACAAGCAATGTTCTCAGAATATTCTATAGCATTATCCTTATTTATATTGCAAGTTGTTACTGAAATTTAAGAAACAGCACAGAGAAGAGTAACTAACTTGGTTTAATGAGATTGTAAAAATCAATGGTTGCGAGACCTAAGTAGCTACACCTACTCTGAATAGGCAATTGGATGGCATTGTGTCCCAACATAAATCATTCTGTAATTCTAAAACAATACCATAGAAATGAGGCATGTCACCTAAAAGCATTTCTCTTCCCAGCATGAATACAAATTGGAATTCTAAGAAAGTACTTACTCTTATGAAGAGTATTTTATCTCCCAGTCTATAACGTCCCTCTGATAAGTATTCAATTGAAAATCGATGGGAACAACTGCAGGGAGGATCTTCTGCTATATGTTTAACCTAGTTATTAAAAATGAAAGCATTTTTACTTTGACAGAAGTTTGAAATATTAAATACACACAAAGATACTGTTATCTTCATCCTATAACCTAAGATAATCCTAGAATTTGGTACCCTCACAATAAAATCTTAGCTACACAAAACCTCAAAATGTCAAATAAAAGATTAAAGAACAAACTGTATGCACAAACATTTTTAGTTGTCCCAATCCAATTTTCACAACTTCTTCAATTTGAAATTGTTTCTAATTTCACTTAAGATTTGTTCATAACATCATACATAGCAGCATCAGTTCCCATCACAACCTTGTAAAGACACTGTTATGGTCTCTAAAAATGGAAACAAGTGCCTGGGTTTCCCCTCTGACCAAATCCATTGCCACACCTGACCCAAGAGTACTTCAGAGTTCTCCCTAACTTTTATAAGTTAATCTTCTATGTGACACCCAAGAAGGAAACCACTTAAAAAAAGAGAAAAGGTCCTCAGATAAGTCCGGGGTTAGAAAAGATGTGCCTCTTACAGACACTTAGAAACTTAAATTGCCAAGAAGGAAAAACAGTGAGTTTTCAGAGAGAGCGAGGATCTCATGGCTGACTTTCCCAAAGAAGCAGACATTTTACATTAAAACATAGAGGACATTTAAAATAAATGCTTACTGAGTCAGATCACAGAAGTACCAAACTTAGAATTTTATGTAAAGCTCAGAACACAATAAACAAGTAGTACTTACTGCCTCATGCAGCTCCCCATGGTGACAGCATGACTTTGCTGTGCTAACAGGTGATGGTGGCCCAGAAGTCATTAGCAGTGTTTCTTCTAGCTCAATTTCTTTCTCTAGTTTTACTAGCACAGGAGGTTCAACTCCATACCTCAAATTCATAAGTGGACAGTTTAATTGCTAATTTACTAAAGAAAACAAAAAGTGATGATAACAAACATGCAAAATTTTGAGTGGCTTGACTGACAGGGAACAACGCTAAATCAGTCAGAGGAATCACTGTCCTGATAACCCAAGAGAAGGAACAGCTTGAGTTTCTAGTAGAAGCCCCCTCTAAAGTGGTCTTGGAGCTACCAAAGACAACAGCAAAAATATAGTCCAAACTACATAATTTGGGCCACATTCAATTTAGATGAACTATCTTAAAGCTTCCAGTTCTGCTCTTGAAATAAATTAAAAGTCTAAAATTAGAGAATGATAGAGATATCTGCCAAAAAATCTTAAAAAGTAACAACCTTAAAACTGTATTTAATGTCAGTGAGTTTCTTCCATGATGTACACATATCTATAAGCTGAACATAGCATCTAAATATACAGCTATAAACACCAGTGGATCAGCACCTTTCCATGGAAAAAAATCTGACAAATATTTAAAAAAATACTTATATTGTACAATGGTCCTAGAAAAGTTCATCCCTACTTTCTGCACAGAATTAACATTTACTGCATTGCACTTAATGGCGACAGACTGTCTTAACTTTATCTTCGGTTTCACTTAAGAGAATGTGTTCCTCACTGTCTTGTTAGGAACATGTGCAGATCACATACCTGGACACAATGCGCCCAATTTCCAACAGACAAAGATACACTTGTCTTGGATCCTTGTGCAAAACTGAAAGGGAAGAGAATAAAAGGGAGTTACAGCTCGTATTTACTGTAGAGAGCCCTGTGCAATTAAGTACACAAAGGGGGGAAGATAGATGGAATAGATGATTAGATAGAAGGAATAGATGATCAACTTTGCCATCATTCTACCCAGAATTATTGCTTCTGCAAGCTACATTATCATTGATAAAGCACTACATGCTTTCCAGATCTAATTTTCTATTCCATAAAATGTTTAAACCCATCCTGGCACTCCTGAAATCAAATTCTTCTCTACCTCCTAAGAGAAATATGCTTCTCTTATGCTGAGGAGGAAAATCCAACAGCTTTTCCTTTGCTATCCTCAAATACATTATTGCAGTCTTAAAGATGAAAAGTATTCAGCAACTGCAAATAGGAAAATATACTCCATCTGTCCTTGCTCGTGCATACAGACACAGATAAGCCCACACACTCTATAGGTGAACAGTTGTAGAATACACTGCAAGTGACCTAGCTGACAAGTGGATGTTCTATGCAGCCAGTCAGCCCAAGTGGTTTAAACCCATGGCTGTGAAAGAATAATCTGGATGACTGTTACCATTTCAGTAAGCAACATATCTTTTTTCTTATCACTTTAAGAGTGGCCAGCTCTGGGTACCAGCAGGAGCTGTCAGATTCACCCAGTTCCACTTTGCCTGTGGCAGCTACCCTACCTCATGCTATACCCACATTTCACCCCACCCTGTCAGGCCCTACCTCCTGCCCCATCCACCCGGAGGTTTGCTTCAGGATTTGATATCTTTGTGAGGCTGTGTCTGAAAAGGATGGTCAAAAACCCTGACTGTAGGAAGGAGGCGAGAATGACATTGGTTTAAAGAGACAAATACTCAGATTCAAATATCAGATATTGGCTGTGATCACAGAGAAGAAGCAACTCTATTTCAGATGTTAGCAGCACTGATTTTTGCATTAGGCTTTGCATCTCAAAGACTGTGCCCACATTAACCCAGTTAGTGCCCAATGCAGAGGCTGCTTTGTACCCCTCGATTCAGACAAGCTTTAGCAGGTGCATGTTACTTGGCCATGTAGGCACGCGAAATGACAATCAGGAAAGCTGAAGAATGAAATGGAAGAGCAAGGTGATGACCAAGCAGCGTGAAGATGACTGTGGCAGCTCTTCTGGATTTTCTTGACAGATTTGAAATGAAAATGTTTAATCATTTCTACTGCTGCACTGAAGAGTGGAAGAGGCAGAAGGAAAACAATGCCTGTTTTGGCATCTTTCCATCTTTAGGTGAGCAAGGAAAAAGAAGCTAGGCCATGAACAGAGAAAGAAAATAGTTTAAAATCTCACCCACAAGTAACTACTTCCTCCTCTGTCCCAATACAACCCTTAAAATTGAGGTGCTTTCAAAATGTTCTACAAACAGTTGTATGAAGGCTTTGGGGAAAAAAAAAAAAACAAAACAAAACAACAAACATCCCTGCAATTTTTTAGCCAACCAGGAATACTGCCTAATAACTCAGAAACCAAAGGCTGGGAGAAAGGTCATTCAGCTCCCCTCAACCCACACACATGGCACTGTTCTTTCCCCAACCAGCAGTAAGTGTAAGAAATGGGAAAAGCTGTAGATATGATATTCATATGGTATAACTTTTATATGAACAAGTCAGACTTTCTTTGCAATGTGCAGTAACAATATTCAGTAGAAACTGGAAATTCATTCTGAAGAGAAACATAATGAGCCAGCTCTATATCTGCAGATGAAATCTAACATCTTCCTGATGCTCAAATTTAAAACAACTTCGCTTTAAATGAGACTAAAGTGTTTCCTAAAGTATAAGCAGAGTACGGGCAGATGTTCTTTACATCACCTACACCAGTCTACTTTTTAAAAGCATCTGATTATGAAGGGTAAATCTAAAATAGAAAGTTGACACAGTCATAAAATAAAAGGTACTAGAAGTCACTTAATCCCTTTTTTTTTTTGGTTGTGTTTTTGCCAGCTGTAACAGAAGTGGCATTATTTGCCTGAATCTAGAGTAGAAAAATGCAAATTTACCCCTAAGAGAGATCAAGAGATTTATCTGAATGTCAAAGGGGGTCCTATGATGGCTACCCTCCCTTTCTACTGTCTTAGGAGCCACTTAGTTTAGTACCTTCACAGCCACCCACACTTTTCAGGAGGCATTGATCTAAATATGTGATGGGAAAGAGACAATTGTTATATTGTCTATCCGCTATTTCATTCATAAAGAATGGATTGAAAGTTTGATGGAAAACACCAGTAGAAAGAATGTTTCATCAAGGAGGCTGCAAGTCTGCTCATTTCAACTGCCAAAAAGGCTCACAGAAGATATTTATGCCATAAAGCAAGCTTGTGTCAAGAGTTACAATCAGACTTCAAAACACTTCTTAGCTATGAGCAAAAGCCACAGTATTAGGAAATCCTGTCTGCTTATCTCAGGGAGGTTAAACAAGTTCTAGTTACCCATCCACTCACAGGAACTAAGATGTTTAAGCAATGTGGTTCATACAAGTTGCACTGCAAAAAAGCAAATTAAAACCAATTTTCCTGTATCTCAGCTCTCCTACTCATCTGTATTTCATGGCACTGAAAAGAGATTCACTCACTAATTAAATCAGACTGAGACAGATGCAAATGAGGATATTTTCTTAACTATTCTAAAAGACGTCTTATCCAATAGAGAAAGCATGGGAAGTCCAACTAGCCGGGAGGAGAGCTTGAAAGAAAAACAGTTCATGAAAACAGTTCCTCCCATTTAAATTACATTAAATGGCACAAAGACTTTGAGAAAATCTAGTAAACATTGTGACAACTGCATCTGATTACTGAAAACAAAAGGTACTTTGCAAATTTTTCCTGTTCTGCTGACACGCAGATATTTTGCCTTTAAAAAAAAAAAAAAAAGAAGTAGCCAAAAAATTTCCAATCTTTGGCTTGCCACGGAAAAGTTTGTATTAATTAATTTTTACTGACATAATAGCTGGTAGAAGAGCATTTCATTATTTACCATGCAATTAAAGCACACTTCCTCTTAATTAGCAGTTAACCAAGCTTTATTCCATCTGGAAGTATCAGTCTGGAAGCTGTTTGTTATATGGGACAGATTGTGCATTGGGGCAGTCGTACACACACAGTTGGCAATATTTATTTTTATAACTATCTTATTAAATGGGAAAACACAAATGGTTTAGTCATGTCAAGTAGGTCCTGAAGTAAATGTTAATTACCAACAGACTGTTGCCACTTCAGATACAATGCCTTGCTGTTGTTACCAAATTTAGCAGTCATGAATTCATAATTCTGAGGGCTTTCTGCAACAAAAATGAGCTCTAACTCCAAATAAAGGATCTTATTGTGACTTGACTCCATGGCCCTGTGGTCTTCCTGCACAGGGAAAGTGAAACCAAACTTTTATTCTCTTTTTCTCAGTGGGCCTTTTCACTGAAAAACGTGAAAGTTTGCTGCACAACTGTCACTCCCCACTTTGGCCCATACAGCAACTTTTAGAAGTTTGGAAAAGCATCATGTGAGTTAGAGCAGTCACTAAACTGTGTTTTCAAGGCTTCTACTCCAACACTTCCTTAAAATAAGTAAAAGTATTAATAGCTTGCATGAGACAGGCATATTCATGACAAAGACTTCAAAAGACTGTACACAAGAGATCTCCCTGACTAGGTAGTTACCCACATAGAGATCAAAGCAAGTCTTACAAAAAGGTAGATTTACCTAAACCTTCAGACTCAAAGAGATAAGTCTCATCAACTCCAATGGCCCTACACCAGTTAAGAAAGTTGGCTGTATTATCTCTGGCAAAAAAAGATCCTGATGGTGCATCCTTCTTACATGGAACTTTTCTCATAGGAAAATTCTGGCAAGGGAAGAAAACAAAAAGTACATTGTGCACATCAACATTGCCAACAGATTTCAAAGCATATTTGCAAAGGAAAATAAACCCTCAATTCAGAGTACAGAAACAGTGGTTAGTAACTATTTTGTGTGCAACCCACCATGCATTCTATTAAAAAAGCCACACTAATGTAGAAAGCATTCCACCCTATCGTTGTGAACAGTCATGGAGTAAACAATCCTTAGCTCTGCAGCCTTTCCCAAAGGCTGCCTATACAGTTGGTCCCCCATTTCCCCACATGCTGGGGTAGAAATCTTATTGGTGGTTTCACAGGTTTGGATAATTATTCGCCCTTCCCAAGCTCTGTTCACAGCAGCAGAATGAGCACAGACAGAGAACTCCAACTAAACTGAAATATACTCAGATGCCAGACTTCATTTTAGAGCCTGTTCTAGAAAGCAGAGGGAAACAGAAGGGAACAAGGGGCAGTTTCCTTTAAAGGAATTCAGTACTTATTTGGTTTTAAATTGGTATCTTCAGAACTAAAAATTCAGTTCACAGATACACAAGTTATGAATCTTGTCTTCCTTTGAAAAAAAAAAAAAAAAACAAAACCCAAAACCAAACAACTAAGGATTTGGAGCATTCATATGGCTCTTGAATAAATATCACTGGATATGGTGAGCAGTGCCTCCTGCCCCCAAGGGAAACGCTACCAATCAGGGCACATTAGCTGGTGATCTACTATTTGACAAATCTAAGCACTGCTGTAGCTATACCCCTGTAGGTTGACCATATGCTACCTACATGGCTTTATACTTTAAAGTAGCAAATCAGTATTTTTCATGGGACAAACACAGACTGGAAGTTGCTTGAGATTCACATTTTAACGCAGTCTTGGTTCCCAACAAAAACACTACAGCCCATGTCCAGGTACATCTCAGTTTGGATATTTTGATGGCTGGCCTACATTCTAGAGTTTAGCCACCAGTTTTGAGCATAAAACATACCACCAAGTGCCAATGGATATCTTGTTACCAACCCACACTGATGTCAGGGGAACAAACTCCAGACTTTGACTAGATCTTCCTCAGACAAGGCTTCTACTGGAATTAAACTAAAAACTTGATAGGATTTTATTAACAAAGCATATAAGTAATTTTTTGCACAAAGCTTGCCCATCTGTAAGCCACATTATTGTTAATCAGCCTCTTTTTACTGCCACTTATAATTAAAAAGTTCATGTACGCATTAAAAAAAAAATAATAAATCACAACTTACCCTTAAATTATTTGAGCTACAACATTCTTTAATTGTGTTTTGAAGAACACCAACCAATTGGCAGAGTAGTACCCCATTATCAAGTTCTTCTAGCAGTTGTTCTGCTTTGATTTCTATTCCTAAAAAAATCAATATTAGAGTTACTCCAAAGAAGGTACAGAAGTTTCATATGAACTTAGAGGCAACTCAAATAGCATTCCAGTGTTAAACACTGAAAATTAATAGAAAAATATAAGTAAATTAAAATCAAATATCCATTTAATTAGATTTTAATTAGACTACCAAGATTCAGCAAATAAATTAGAATGGTTTATCATCCTACCTCTAAGAAGTGGCAGCTCATTAAATCCAAAACCAAAACATGCATTTTAATGCAATTCTCCTAGCCATTCAGGCTCAGATACACAAGATCTTAACAGTACTATAGGTATTAAGTGTCAGCATTGACTGGAATATTGGAAAGTGCTTTGAAATTTATTAGTGATTTTTAACCTCACCCAGCAAGCCAGACAGCCAGATTGACAGATCTTCTTGCATAGGCACCAAAGTTGCTTCATGCCGCACAGATATCCATCGGTCATACAGGCACACATCTGCCAAACCTGGTCCATGTCTGGGAGTTAGAGGACTGCGGGGACTTAAGGGAAGGTCATCTCCAAACCACACCTGCAGAAGATGTCAGGAAGCTGCAGACAGCGAGGTCTAGTATTTGCAGACATATTGCAAAAATTTGCAGTTCTGAATTATTCAAACAGTAAGTATTCATTCCCCTTCAGACAGATACACCAACACAGCAGCAGTCATGATGGTGCAACTCTCATTAATAATGCCTACATCAAAAGTACTACTACATCCATTCTCTTGACTTCTTTGGATTTAAAATTACATATTTATTAAATGAAGAAAATGTGCATTAAATTTGTGGGTTTTTTTTCTTTTTCTCAACAAATTTAAGTAATGAAATCTGAAGTTTGTCATATAATTTACTACAGCCTACTGATTTCTCTGACATTCATTTCAGAAGCATTAAGTGTTTAAATCATTAAAATGATGGCGTTAAGAGGAAACATATTTCCATGCAAGAACATAGCACAGTGCTTGAACATGAATCCTTAGCATTTCCCTTAGGGATTTAATATTTTCATATTGGAGAGGTACTTTACATTTCAAGAAAAGTACCACACTGAAATTTGATGCACAAAATTCCTGAAGACAAAGAGGCCCTTTGGTATTCTTAAATACTTTCCTTCAGTTCAGCGTGTGTACAAAAAAAAGATAATTGTTTATACTTACATAGGAGTTTTAAAAATTCCTCTTAATCAACAAACAAGTTCTTCAATAACTCAGCATTTGACTTCAAAGCCTTAGCTAACAGCATTTAGGAAGAGAACACCAGGTTATATATCTTTTCACATTGCACCATTGGCAAAATAGGAAAATAAGTAATCTTTTTTAATAGAGACAACTTGGGGGTGTTCTAGCATTTCATCTGCTTCAGGTTACATTTTTGCATTAAAACAAAACAAAAAAATATCATAAGGGATTCAAACATTACAAAAGCCATTTACCTGAACTGCATTCTGCATGGTTACCTGCATTTACATTAGTTGCTCCCTCTAGAAAAAGATAAGAGTATTTTTATTACAGTCCCTCCTGCTTTCAAGAAAAACCCCCCAGTGCTGCTTTGGTAAAACAGGAACAAGTCTTATCGGGAATGAAGGAGGAAAGAGGGAAGTATCTTAGTAGCTAATGTTTTGATGAAGTATTCAGTCAATGTCAGCTCTGTGCCCTTAAGTAAAGGGGCAGTTATTACAGCACAAAGAAGCAACTAACTTCATATGTATAAATAATAGTCAAGTTTGCATGAATTTAAGGAGCTGTAAGGCATTTACTTTACCAAAAAGAAATATAAATACTCCAAACCATTCTTGGATGTAACAATGTTGGCATTCACCCTTTCTTTTTAAGCTACCACACAGGTGTATCTTGTACACACATGCATGTGCATCTATGTATCCCAAGTTTATATTAAATACTTTTAAGTTTATGAAAATCTTAAAGCAAAGAATAATTTTGAAGAATGAGACTTCTTGCATTGATACATGAGAGAAATCAGTATTTTTATTAATGTCTGTTGGAATTTTGTATTTCCAGGCAACTAGCACATACCTGTGTTTTCAACAAGCTGTTGCAGCAATACGGTTATCAGGACACTTCCCTGGCTTTTCTCTCCTGAAGCCAACACAGTATTTTAAAGCAATGCTTTCAATCACAGGAAAACTCAGCACAAACTCTACACTGGGCTTGGGATCAATCAGTAAGTCTCTTAATGTAGGCTCCAGGTCTAGAAATGCACAGTATTACCAGGATAGCTGCATACATACATACCAGAAGGAATTTCCTCAGCATAGCTCTCCAAAGTGGTAGTGGAGAGCGTTACAACCTCAAAATGTACCTATCTGTGTCCTGAAGCCACTTATAAACAACTTTCTTGCTCCATCACTTAATAGTTGCAATAAAACTTCATCTTGCTGATGAAGCTGGAAACCAGATTGCAGACACTGTCAGACAGTTTAAACTCATCTGTTTTCCTTTAAAAATAAATAACTTCCCTCTCGTGTCCCAGATGTTTAAGCTTTATGTGTAGATGGCATTCTTCTCCACCTGATGTGCAACTTGGCCTTTCTATAACAAAAGGCTCTATGGCCCACCACAGAAGACCCCATTCTTGCAAAAAATTCTCCCCCTTCCTCTTAGCCAGAAAGCAGAATGGTGCTGTTTCCTTCCCATTTTTCCCTCTCATGCTACATAGGACCACACATCAGGCATTTCAACCAACTTACCCCTATGACCAGCTAACAAGCAACCAGTTTATTTTCAGGCTGAAGCCACTTCTTTGAACCAGGACTGCTAGCGCTTCTCAAACTTTATCAGGGACACTCCAAGTGATATTTTTTTCCCCTCCTTTTATTTCTAAGGGGGAAAAAAAAAAAAAAAAAAAAAGGACATCCTCTCCTTGATGTCATTTTTCCTGCTATGAATGAACAAGAGAAGGGCAGTGTATATACCAAGCATTACTAATGAGCATGTTATGCTTCCCACAGCTTTGTCCAGGGCAATACATTTTCCTTTAGCAAAGAAAGCTATTGTCCCAAGAGAGTCGCAATAAGAGGCTCCATTGATTAAAAAAAATAAATAAAACAACAGCAGAACAGCCAGTAGAGAAGCTGGTCTCATTAAAATAAGGAGCTCCATATAGGCTAACAAGCGCTCTAGCATACTAACTGCCCAGGAAAACAAAAGGCAGCCTAATTCACAGGGAGCACTCAAAACACGAACAAAGCAAAATATTCACGCAGCAGCTATCACAAGAATGCTCAGCATCTGCAGTTTTGTGGCATGCCTAACAAAAACTAGTCAAAAAAAGAGAAAAAAAAAAAGAGAAAAAAGAAAAGGGATTGAGGAAAATTGTGGCACTTGATCTTTAAGAGCCTGCCCTTCTAAAGTAAGTTATTTTGTAAGCCCATATGCCAAAGGGCTCTCTAGAAAGTCAAACAGATTCATTTATCAGGGCATCTGAATAACACTTAATAAATGACCCTTTGATGATATAGACTACCCTGCACAAATTTTGAGTTGAAAAATATAGTAACAATTACCCATTTTCAGAGCCCGAACAGTCCAGCTCTGAGACTGCAGAGAATAAAGATTAATGTAGCCTTATCACTTACAGCGACAGCAAGTAGGATGAGAAGACCCAGAAGTCTGCCACCTTCAAGTAGTCGGCCTGCAAGGGTGCAGAATGTGCTGCGGTGAGGCGAATACTGCAGTACTGTGTGGAGTCATAACCAAATCTGACAACTTCTAAAACCAGTTGGGTTTCCTGCATCAAAAAGCTCTACGTAATGAATGAATCAAGTATTTGATATTGAATTCAGGCAGCTCCAGCTAGAACAGTATCAGTTTCTGTACATACCAGTTTTTTATCAACTTACCTTCATTCAACAGGCATTTAGTGTTCAGGGATCACAGCTTAAAAGAAAATACCACAGAATGAAAATGGACTGTATCATATCATGTCCCATGCACAGCCTCAGGCCACACCATTCCCATTTCCCAGCCAGCTGATGTCCTCAAGGTCCTTAGGAGGAGTCTCTACCTGCTTCACCCCTTAAAATAGGGGAAGCACCAGAAACTTGCAAGCACTTCCCAATCAGCGGGACAACCAGCCTAGCTCCAAGCTCAGTAAACACAGAATTCTCCCACCACTCAGCGAACATCCCACTTCTGTGGGCACTCCTGTTGCCAACAGGCTCCACGGGATGGGAGGAGAGTGGAAACACTGCCCAGTCCTAGTGGTACCTTACATCTAGAATAATGCAACAACACTGACTTATTGCAAGACAGGAGGTCAGCCCCAAATGATATAGTGGGGAAGGCAGGAGCTGCCTTTGTCTGGCTGACTGCCAAACGTCCACTAAACGACTAGAACTATGGATCAGCATTAGGAAAGACAGAAAAATGTAGCTATCTACTGACATGTGGCATGGTGACGGGCATTTCTGAAGAAAAGGAGCGCAGACACCCTGGACATGAACCTGCACATGACAACCTTGCAAGACCATAGTCTGCCTCTATTCTCCAAAGGGATGACCACCGCTTTGCCCTCAGGTAAGCTCAGAAACAGCAAAGTCAGCGAATACTAAAACACTTTATACAAATACTTCAGGGTGCTAAACACACTCTCTCAGATGCTACACAAGATAGCCTGGTTAGTATCAGTTGCCCAACCAGCAAGACATGCTATATTAATTACACTCTGTAGCACAAGATAAACGAAGTCCAAGTCCCATTTTACTTGGCTGCACGGTTTACAAAGAAATAAACAAAAAATCCACAATTCACAGATGCCCAAAACATAGATGAAGCAGCCACTGACTTAGCTTAAATGGAACCTAAAGGGATTCACAACCTGATTAAAAGGCCTTGAATGCACAGACCCATTAAAAAAAACTTAGGTAGAAACACTTTGACATCTTCACCCTATATTTAAGATATATAATGCATCATCTTCTATTCCATCAACACCCAAAGGCAGTCACAACAGACTTACCCAGAGCAGCTGGAAACTAGATTAGCTTTGACAGTACCTACTGAAACCCACATTTCAAACATTCTGAAATGAAAGAAGCTGTCAAGTCAGTATCTGTTGAAACCGGCTACAGGATAGCCAAGATTTCTTTTGGTTCACATATCCTAACATGCAGAAGAGATAGGTACAAGAGACATCCCTGCAGCAGAGAGCTACTCTCTGTCACTAAGCAATTATAGAGCCCTTTTGTTACATTACTGAGTCAGCAGGAGCTCTGTTTCCTTGGGGAGGCCTCAAAGGCACAAAAGAGAAAGAACCAGACTCGTCAGTCCAAGGTGATGGGCTTTAAGGTAGCAACCATCTACTTACATTAAGGCAGGCTGACTGCTCTCTTCCAGTACTGCCTTTCTGTACCTCTCCGTGGCAGTGAGCCCACTCTCCCTTTCCAAAGCGTGGCAAAGGCCCTGATTCACCTGTCAGGGCAGAGAAATCCACTTGAAATCAGGGAGGAGCGCTTCATCGCAGGAGCCGCCATCTCCGCACCAGACGTGCAGACGGCTCCTTTACCACAGGAGCATCCAGTCTGGGGAGAGGCTGGTTAACAGGAGGCACACCACCCTGCTACCCCTGCACTCAGTAGTGCTCACAGACAAACCCTCCTCTCCCTCCCATTTACACCCCACACTTCTTCCCAGCTGAGCAACATTGAGGGGAGCATCACCTGATACTCAGGGAACAAGCTGCTGGCTGGCCATAACCAGGAGAAGTTTGTTTTGACTTAAATATAAAATCCTGTCTTATTGTGAAAGATCCGCTTAGTACATTTAGAATTACAAATGCATAGGCCAGCTATACCTTAGAGGTTCTAAAGGTACACATGCCCTTTTTCCCCATTCCTTGTTCTTATACTATGGAAAAGATGACACACAGTATCCTTGGAATACAGCCAGCTTTTGGGCAAATGAAGGAGACAGACATTTTTCAGCTTAATAAACAATATGAAAGAGTATTTTAGCCAAAAGCACTAGGGCAGTTTTCCTACAAAAATAGCACAGCATCCTCAAACGCTTGTGTGAGGCACAGGAGAGACTGGTTTAAAGGCGGTTATGCAAAAACTCTCCCCTCTCCCTTCCCCAAGGTTAGTTTCACTGCACTTCACTTCCAACATCCATGCCAGAGAAGCTGACTAGGCCAGACGAGAGCTGCTGCCCGCAGAAGGGTGACCCGTCCCAGTGACAGCCTTAGCCCAATACCGGGATACGTCCCGTGAGGCGCGCCGATGCTCAGCCTGTTTCCAGCACTACCTCTATAGACAGGCGTAACTGACCGAGTGCCACCGCTCGGTTCCCGTGCGCCCGATGCACCGACGCAAGCGTGACCCTGCAGCAGCAGAGCCCCGGTCCCCACGAGGGGACAGACCTGCCGCCTCTCGGGCGCCCCTCACCGTTCCCGCACGCCGTGTCCAGAGCACTGCCGCCCCCCAGCCCCACCCCTCTGCGGGGAGACCCGCGCACTGCCACTGCCACTGCCACTGCCACTGACGCTGCCGCTGCCGCTGCCGCTGCTACCGCTACCGCTACCGCCACCGCCACCCTGATCCGTGGCACCGCGCTACCCACCGGGACGCGGACGGGGACCGGGACCGACAGCTGCCACGGCGCCGCGGAGCAGAGCAGAGCAGAACAGAGCACTCACCCCACTCGCTCCGCGCCGGCCGCTCTGTTCGAAAGGGCCAATCAGCGCCCGCGGGGCGGAGCTGGGGCGTGCCTGCCGCACCTGGCCCTGAGACGCGGCTCTGCCCGCTCGCTGCGCCCAAGGCGAGACCTTTGGTTTCGCCGCGCTTCCGCTCGCGGAACCCGATTTATGCGGGGCAGCTCGAGGGTCTCCACCGCAACCCGCGCCGGCTCGCCTGAAGGCCTTGGGTAGCGGGGCCGCTCCTCCGGCCTCCCGAGAGGCGGTTCAGGGCGCAGGGTCACGGATCCGCTGGCAGCCAGGTCGCCTAGGCAAACCTTGCCCCCCCCCCCGCCGCCGGAGGATAGGTCGGGCGTCGGTGCCCCGCCTGCTGCGGCGGCGGGGCCGGAGGGCTGCTGGCTCGGTCGCTGTGGCAGATGGTCCTACCGCCCACCGGCCGCTCCAGCTGGGGTGAAATCACTCGCCTCAGCCTGCCCTCCTTATGTCACCAACCGCCTCTGAAAGAAGCTCTGCTCCATCGGGGCCGCCATGGCGGGCTTGGTCCCGGCTGGCGGGAGCAGGGGGCTGGCTGCGCGGCGGTCAGGGTAAGCGCCGGCCCGCGGAGGGTCTTGCACTTCTGGCAGCAGGGCGGAGAGCTGTTTCTGCGCCCAACGCGTTGCCGTGCGTCTCGCGCTGCCGGCAGCGCAGGGCCAGCGTTTGGAGAACACGGTCACATCAGTACCCCGGCCATCTGGGATTCTGGGAGCGGACCCGGGCACAAGGAAACCACTCACTCTACCTGCAGCCCCATACAGCACTCGGACCACTTACCTGTTTCGGGGATGTTGGTGATGGTGCTGTTCAGAGCCGCTGAACACCAACAATCAAAGTCTTAAAGCAAAATAACCTGTGATGCATTTTAACAAAGTTTAGATACTGTATAATTTTTACTTTGAAATAATTCAAAAGAAGTTACACGTTTATATCATGAAAAGGTTGTTTGGGGTTTCCTTGTGTGTGTATGAGGCTTTTCTCCATTACATAATTTTTCACCTTATGAAGAAATAACATCTTGCACATCTTACATGAACGCATTTCACAGTTGAGCCGCAAATGACTGGCATTAACCATTTCAGCTGGTTTATTAGGTAAGTATCTGGAATATAATGGAGGCTGAGCACAAAAACATTGCA